TATATATATATATATATATATATATATATATATATATATATATATATATAACCTCCAACTCTTATTATCTCAATTCTATCAAGTCATCTTGCGAAAGAGTTAAGGCGACGGGGATAAAGAATATTTTTTTAATCATTTCAACACAAGCAAGGCGGGAATGCCACTAATACGCATGGGGGGTACAAAGAGTGACGGTGAGGATAAAAGCTGAACGAGGTTCCAAAGGATAGATGGTGATTGACGTCGCATTTAAATTTTTGATGCAATCTTCTAAATTATGTCAAAATTACCTAGAATCAAAAAAAAAAAATTTTTTTTGAAATTATGACTTGGCTGCCTCAAACTTCTAACCTCTCCCCTATTGAATTAATATGGAATGAATGGATAGGAGAGTTTGAAAGGAATAACCAAAGAGTGAGCGTGAGCTTTTTCAGTTCCTGAAGAATGCTTGGAAAAGTCTGCCTACTCACTTTTTTTTTTTTTTTTTAAAAAAAACAAAACTGCTGGAAACCAAAATGTATTCCATAGGCGGGAAATACGAGAAAAGAAACTGTTGGAGTAGAAGTAGTAGTTACATTTATCTACTACAACAGTGAAAGGGTGGGACCTAGAAGCCACTCTAGTAGCACTCTTAAATTCATGTTTACGGGACACCAAGGAAAAAAAGCTCGTCAGAGTTGTTTCATGAAAATATTGGCAGTAAAGACAGAGGGAAGCCGCGTCACGTCGATGAGAAATTGACTGAAGTCGAGATGCCAGGCCAGGATAGATTACATTGCAGATCCTTCTTTGGATTTTCTCAAGAGGCTCGAGTGAATAGCAGGAGCATCTTACGTGATATGGCAACAACCGAATGGTATATTTGTAAATGTGCAAGATCCATCTTACACATTTACAAATAGACCATTACATTACACATTATTACACCGTTATTATCAAGAAGTCTTTAGCTGGAGCGCTACACGATGGGTGACGGCTATTGTAGCACAAACACGTGAGCAATTGTACTGTCCACGTACTCTATTAGTGAGAAAGCAGGTCTGTTTAGACCTTGACGAAAAAGAAAACCTTCTGGCACGACACATTGACACAACTTTCCTTGCATTCAAAAGTGCCAATTTATCAGAAACAACATTACTTTTTTAGGTTAGGTCCCTTCGAAAGTGCTACTGGCATCATATAACCCAGTACTACCTGTCGCATAGCCAGGTCATCGGCAACTAAACCGGTTCCATCACTAGACTTTTCTGGTAAGGAGCATCGATAGCCTGGTTAAAAACAACCTCTGTCAAAGGTGTTAGCTTTGTAACTATTGATTCGATGTAGCCGTTCCACTTCAAGTAAGTTTTAAACGTGAGAACAAATAGACGTAGGAAGCCGCTCTCCAGCCGGTGGTCAGAAAAGTTTCTCTATGGTGGATAAATGCGAGCAGTTTCATTTTGGACGTTTTACGAGCCATTTCTTACCTCTGTTAACCAATGATTGAATCTCCTTTTCAAGAGAAGCGGCCAGGGTTAACAGTCAACTGCAATACTGGATAGCCAGACTGCTGCAGCTGGCTTCCATGTTGCGATTGTGAGCAAGCAATGCTTAGGGGTCCTTTTTGCAATTTTATTCAGAAGTAAATGGTAACGTCATCAAAATAAATGCCTACTTGGGAACTGATGACATCGGGAAGATCATTGATGAAGATTATAAACAGAGTAGGGCCCAGCATAGAGCCTTGGTGGGCTCCCGCGTTCGTATGAAAGTATCTGGAAGCGAGCCCGTTCAAAACGAAACTTCATTTTACGATTTGATGGGGACGATTGGATTAAATCAAACGCAATACCGTAGCCCTGGAGTTTACGTAGAAGACCATCGTGCCAAACCCTGTCAAACGCCTTCCTGATATTTGAGCTTCACCGTTATTACCAAGAAGTCTTTAGCTGGAGCGTTACACAATTTGTGATGGCTGTTGTAGCACAGACACGTAAGCAATTGTACTGTCCACGTACTCCAGTAGTGACAAAGCAGGTCTATTTAGATACAGCGATGCTTTCCTCAGTACGGAGAGGAGGCAGGAAAAGGAGCCCTAAACATTGCTTGCTCACAATCTCAACTTGGAAGCCAGCTGCAGCAGTCTGGCTATCCAGTATTGCTGTCCAAACAAGAAGAAATATAAGAAACCGAACATTGGCTGTTGGAATCTATGCACAATACAAGACCGTGATTCGTCACCAGAACGAAAAACAAAAAACGAAATTTTATTCTTGAGATGAAGAAATACAGCAGTGACATAGATGCACTCAGCGAAATCCGTCTTGCTGGCTCATCGCAACTTGAAAAAGTAGGAGGTTACGCATTTTTCTGGTCTGATAAGAGTCCTGCAAATCAGGTGTTGGCTTTGCAGTCCGATCTCATCTTGCAATCACGACGCATCTCAGTGTTATTCTTAGTGTTGATATTCATATCATGACGCTGACGCTTGATCTGGATATCAACATAAACGCCACGTTTA